ATCTCAGGTCTGAAAAAAACATGGAAATTGTTGAGATCCCCCAGCTGATATTTCTTGTATGGTTAGAGGTAATCAACAACTTTTAATGAAAAATGAAATTCCAGGTGAGTTATTAATAATTACTGCACCTGTGCTTCTTGTTCTTGTTCTTGGAAACACCAGCACAAGCAAACAATATGATGTTATATTTCCTGTGCATGCAATCAATATGAACCAATCAGACAGCTATTATAAAGATGAGGTACCTTACCTACAGAGAATATGGACCTGACATATACCTCATGTATATGTTCATGCATACTTGATGTATAGATGTAATCTGATGTATAGAAGGTGTATATCTGATGTATCATATGGGAGGTGTGTATACCTGATATATAGAAGGTGTGTACCTGATCTATAGGAGGTGTGTATACCTGATCTATAGGAGGTGTGTATACCTGATCTATAGGAGGTGTGTATACCTGATCTATAGGTGTGTATACCTGATCTATAGGAGGTGTGTATACCTAATCTATAGGAGGTGTGTATACCTGATATATGGGAGGTATGTATACCTGATCTATAGGAGGTGTGTAGACCTGATATATGGGAGGTGTGTATACCTGATCTACAGAAGGTGTGTACCTGATCTATAGGAGGTGTGTATACCTAATCTATAGGAGGTGTGTATACCTGATCTAAAGGAGGTATGTATAACTGATATATAGGAGGTGTGTATACCTAGGTGTGTATACCTGATCTATGGGAGGAGTGTATACCTGATCTATGGGAGGTGTGTAGACCTGATCTATAGGAGGTATGTATACCTGATATATAGGATGTGTGTATACCTGATCTATAGGAGGGGTGTATACCTGATCTATAGGAGGTGTGTAGACCTGATCTAAAGGAGGTATGTATACCTGATATATAGGAGGTGTGTATACCTGATCTATAGGAGGTGTGTATATACGTGATCTATAGGAGGTGTGTATACCTGATCTATAGGTGTGTTTACCTGATCTATAGGAGGTGTGTATACCTAATCTATAGGAGGAGAGTATACCTGATCTATAGGAGGTGTGTATATACGTGATCTATAGGAGGTGTGTATACCTGATCTAAAGGAGGTATGTATACCTGATATATAGGAGGAGTGTATACCTGATCTATAGGAGGTGTGTATGCCTGATCTATGGGAGGTGTGTATACCTGATCTATGGGAGGGGTGTATACCTGATCTATGGGAGGTGTGTATACCTGATCTAAAGGAGGTGTGTATACCTGATCTATGGGAGGAGTGTATACCTGATCTATGGGAGGTGTGTAGACCTGATCTATAGGAGGTATGTATACCTGATCTATAGGAGGTGTGTATGCCTGATCTATGGGAGGTGTGTATACCTGATCTATGGGAGGGGTGTATACCTGATCTATGGGAGGTGTGTATGCCTGATCTATGGGAGGTGTGTATACCTGATCTATGGGAGGAGTGTATACCTGATCTATGGGAGGTGTGTAGACCTGATCTATAGGAGGTATGTATACCTGATCTATAGGAGGTGTGTATGCCTGATCTATGGGAGGTGTGTATACCTGATCTATAGGATGTGTGTAGACCTGATCTAAAGGAGGTATGTATAACTGATATATAGGAGGTGTGTATACCTGATCTATAGGTGTGTTTACCTGCTCTATAGGAGGTGTGTATACCTAATCTATAGGAGGTGTGTATACCTGATCTATGTGAGGTGTGTATACCTGATCTATGGGAGGTGTGTAGACCTGATCTATAGGAGGTATGTATACCTGATCTATAGGAGGTGTGTATACCTGATCTATAGGAGGTGTGTATACCTGATCTATGGGAGGTGTGTATACCTGATCTATAGAAGGTGTATACCTGATCTATAGGAGGTGTGCATACCTGATCTATAAGAGGTGTGTATACCTGATCTATAGGAGGTGTGTATACCTGATCTATAGAAGGTGTATACCTGATCTATAGGAGGTGTGTATACCTGATCTATAAGAGGTGTGTATACCTGATCTATAGGAGGTGTGTATACACACCTATAGATCAGGTATACACACCCCCTATAGATCAGGTATACACACGTCTTATAGATCAGGTATGCACCCCTCCTATAGATCAGGTATACACCTTCTATAGGAGGTGTGTATACCGGATCTATATGAGGTGTGTATACCTGATCTATATGAGGTGTGTATACCTGATCTACAGGAGGTGTGTATACCTGATCCATAGGAGGTGTGTATACCTGATATATAGGAGGTGTGTATACCTGATATATAGGAGGAGTGTATATCTGATCTATAGGTGTGTTTACCTGATCTATAGGAGGTGTGTATACCTGATCTATAGGTGGCTGGTATACCTGATCTATGTGAGGTGTGTATACCTAATCTATAGGAGGTGTGTATATCTGATCTATAGGAGGGGTGTATACGTGATCTATAGGAGGTGGGTATACCTGATATATAGGAGGTGTGTAGACCTGATCTATAGGTGGTGTGTATACCTGATACATAGGAGGAGTGTATATCTGATCTATAGGAGGTGTGTCTACCTGATATATAGGAGGGGTGTAGACCTGATCTATAGGTGGTGTGTATACCTGACATATAGGAGTAGTGTATATCTGATCTATAGGAGGCGTGTATACCTGATCTAGAGGAGGTGTGTATACCTGATCTACAGAAGGTGTGTACCTGATCTATAGGAGGGTGTATACCTGATCTATAGGAGGTGTGTATACCTGATCTATAGGAGGTGTGTATACCTGATCTACAGAAGGTGTGTACCTGATCTATAGGAGGGGTGTATACCTGATCTATAGGTGTGTATTCCTGATCTATGGGAGGTGTGTATACCTGGTCTATAGGAGGTGTGTATACCTGATCTATAAGAGGTGTGTATACCTGATCTATGGGAGGTGGGTATACCTGATCTATAGGAGGTGTGTATGCCTGATCTATAGGAGGTGTGTATGCCTGATCTATAGGAGGTGTGTATACCTGATCTATAGGAGGTGTATATACCTGATCTATATGAGGTGTGTATATCTATAGGAGGTGTGTATGCACCTGATCTATGGGAGGTGTGTATACCTGATCTACAGAAGGTGTGTACCTGATCTATAGGAGGTGTGTATACCTGATCTATAGGAGGTGTGTATACCTGATCTACGTCGTCAGTGTCTGTCCAGTCTCGCCCAGCCCGTGCCCAAATCTTGCAGTCTCTCATTCCCAGGTAGCACACCACCATATTACACACACACACAGTGGGGACCCCGGACCAACAATCACGACAGGGTTTAGAATGTCCTTATGCTATGACCATGATCACGAACTCATACATTGCGATTTCCATGTACAACGTCAACCGACATGACAATTATAATTTATTAGTTCTAGATAAGTTTTAAAAAAAATGTCTTTTCTGATGTGGGAGGGTAGGTTGTTTACTTCTCACATTTGTATTACTTTGTTAAGTATAATTGTTGTTTATGATTTAGAGACTGGGCTCTGTTACTTTCTGTGTTATTCACCCTTATTTAGGGTAGGGCTTTTCGTTCAGTGTAGGATTCCTGGCGATCAGCTGCTACGATACCGGTGCTGAAATCTGTGTGTTTACACTTTTGAGACAGCCGGAAGTGGGTGATAGTAATAACAGGAATAGGTTCCCGCTCCTTGCTCACATGCTTTTAGATGATGAGGCTGGGTTCGAGATTAACAGTTGATCACTCATCTTCAAGGCTATTTGGTGGGGGGAGCAGGGGGTATAAAACAGCGGGTCCGGGCGGGGATCAGTGTCTTGACAGGGTCGGTGAGCCGACCCACTTCTCCTGGTGAGGAGAACATTACCGCCTCATGCGCTGTTAACAGTGCAAAACATGGGCCGAGGTGCTGCTAACAGTACCAATACCGTAGGACTACATGAAGTTATCGTTCCTGGGATATATAGAGTGCTATAGGAACTACAGTACATGTATTAAGGGATAGTCAGGGGCTTCGGGCTTAGACATCGATACATGGTGGTTCGCTGTAGATCTATAGGGAGCTAGGAGCACGTGGTCGTAGTCTACTGGTAGTACTGTTAGGTAGGATAGGTCATTACTCTACGTAGGGATTGGGTTTCTTAACATTAGTTGTCATTGTTTGGCACTAATGCTATGCTTTGTATTTGTTAAACTTGTTGTACATATTCATTCCGTCTTGTTAATAAACAGTTACTTGTATTTTAAACACCTTGTTGAGTTATTGAATCAATGGCTGGTATTTTAAACACCTTGTTGAGTTATTGAATCAATGGCTGGTATTACCACTACATCCAGCGATCGAACCTGTAGTGAAAACAGATCTGTAACCTGACGAAAGAGGCGAGGTCTAGAGAGGACTGCAGGGGAAGTTGTCGACTGGTTACCATTGCTAAAAACTATACGATCACGAAACGGATTTAACGGAGTGACAACGGATGCAAAACCCTCTCCGGACCTCCCCCTATTACACTGAGTTAAAAATTTTGGGCAACACCCAAAATTAATTCCTGGGTCCCCCCCTGGTTTTTTTCAATTGAGGTGCTTTCGAATGCAATGACCATTAATCACGGACTCAGACATTGGGATTTCCACTTTCGGTTTATATTAGTATGCAAGTCAGTCAGCCTCATTTAAGCTAAGTTTTTAATTCTTTCTTTAAAAATCTCAGAAATGTCTGGATTCACTAGTTATATGTGACAACCCTTAGAGGAGACAATTCTGTGAAACAGGACGACACACCACCTCTATTTTATCCCCATTTATGAACACTGTTCCACTGTTCTTCCAGTCGTTGTAAGTCTTCGACTTGTGAGACTGTCCTATATCGTGTTGTCATCGACACGGAAGTATTAAAACAGGACATTGATCACGACTTCAGACATTTACAAAAATTAAATGACAGACAAAAGACAAAATCTTACAAATTGTATACAACTGTTAAGTACAAAACCTTACCAACAAGATGGACGATAGTTGATGAAGTAAACTTCGGCTTACGGACCAACACACAAGGCCGCATACGTTTATTACCACTCCAGCTCGGTCTCACCCCTTAAAAGCGTCTTCAACCGACAACAAGCGTCTTCAAGTGACAACAAGCGTCGCCAGACAAAAACTTCAAAAATACTGAATAAAGTAAGCGACATCAGAAGATATATTGTTAATATGACTATAATACACCTCTGTACCAATTTGATATTTGATATTTGATAAAAATGACCGAGTTATGATGAATTGAATTTTTACGATCGCGGCGTGGTTTGAAAAGTGTAGAAAGCGTCGTTACNTGGCAATTTATCATATTCATTAATTAAACACATAATCACCCTGACATAAAATATGCATGCTCCAAGTCAGGAACATTACATTAGTGCATTCACAGTTATTTTATGTTTTTTAAGCCAAAAAAAGGTTCAAAAATTACCCGCTAAAGTAAGCGACATCAGAAGATATGTTATTAGTTAGACTTTTATTGATAGATATTCCAAATTTCAGCTCGATATTTGAAAACATGATCGAGTTTATGATTAATTTATTATTACGATCGACGGCGTGTGTGAATAGAACTCAACATATGAAGAAGCGTCTTCAGAACATAAAATTCATCGATTATGTTAGCGACATCAGAAGATATGTTGTTAATGTGAATATAATAACGTCTACAAAGGTGATATTTATATATATATAAATTGCCAGGCCGATGTTCCAATATATGTCTCTGTTTTATTTTACAAAAAAAGGTTGTTCAGGGAATTATATATTACATCACGGAATTAGAAAATGTTATCTAAGTCCGTGATTACATATATAATAAATATGTATCTGGGTTATTTTCTCATTTATATATATGACACTATCAAGTTTACTTTCCTTAATGTTTGCGGTATTAAGTCTAAGATACTTTTGCCTGAGTTTGAAGACTTAATCCTAGCACATGACATACTTATTTTTGCAGAGAGCAAGATTGATAATCTGGATCATTTACAACTACCGCCTGACTATGAATATTTTGCTAAATGTAGAACTAATGCATATAAAAAATCTGGTGGTATAGTAATTATTTTTAAGAAAACTCTCAAGTCGATGTTGACTTTTCCTAAAACTTTATCAGAATATGTATTGTGGGTAAATTTTTCAAAACACGTTGTGAACTCTGATCTAGATTTTCTACTGGGATGTGTTTATATACCTCCCGAAAATACTAAGTATGCATCCCCGGAAGCGTTCAATGAAATTGAAAGGGAGATGATAGAATTATCCCATCATGGTAACAAAGTCGCCATAGTCGGAGATTTTAATGCTAAAACCCAAGTTAGAGATGATTTTGTAGAACCAGATGATAACTTCATTCGTTCATTAAACTTAGATGAAAATGATGAGCTATACTCATATCTCTATGATATTGAAAAGTTGAAATTATATAATGTTCCTCTGCGAAGGGCTAGTCAATGTAAAGCTAAAGTTAATAATTATGGCAATAAATTGCTTGACTTCTGCAAGCAAAATAATATGTATATTGCCAATGGTCGGATTGGAAATGATGCACAAATAGGTAAAACTACATGTAGTGATGTCAGCGTTATAGATTATCTATTGCTGTCGTCAGATATGTTTCGGTATACAACAGATTTTGAAATCAAAGTTTTTGACCCACTCATATCAGATGTCCACTGTAGACTTGTATTTAGCCTTTGTAAATTAACTGATGAATGTATATATAATACCGAATGTCATGAAAATCGATATACAAAGTGGAAATCCTGTAAAGAACAAGATTTTGTAAAACATATACTAGATGATGAAAGAGGTAATCTCCATAGAATTAATGATAAATTAAATGAATTATTAAATAAACAACACGACAATGTAACCAATAACGAAATTAATGACATTGTAAACTCAATTAGTGAATTGTTCAAAGGCTCTGCTAAGCAGGTTTTTGGTAGTAACAATGCTTACAGGAAACGGAGGTTGAGATGTGATAATAAACCTTGGTTTAATAGGGAATGCCACTTAAACAGAGTTGAATTTAATAAAGCCAAGGCCTTATTTCACAAAGTAAATAATCCTATAAATAAAACTAATCTCAATAGAGCTAGTAAAGTTTATAGAAAAACATTGAATAAAAATTACAGAAATTATCAGGAGAAATTGTCAAGCGAGTTAAGAAATACTGCTAGAATGGATTCAAAAAAATTCTGGAATATTTTGAATAAATGTGACGGATCTGTAAAGAAAGGTAATGCTGATATATGTATTACTGAATTATATGAATACTTTAAGGATCTGAACAAGTCTGTTTATGATGATGACGATTTTGAGCTGGAAAATCCTGATAATAGTATTTTTGATGATTATCTGAATGGTGAAATTACCACTGATGAAATTAAATTTTCTTTAATCAATTTGAAGAATAGTAAAGCCTCTGGTATAGATCAAATCCTAAATGAATATCTAAAAAGTACAATGGATGTATTTTTACCAATTTATCAAAAAATATTTAACCTTATTCTGAATACTGCGTCTATACCAGATGTGTGGAAGATCGGTATTATAAAACCAGTATATAAAAACAAAGGCGATCCAAAAGATCCGGATAATTATAGAGCGATCACTTTAGTCTCGTGCCTTGGCAAAGTTTTCACTTCGGTTATTAATAATCGTTTAAATAAAATTTCTGACGAATTTGACCTGATAAGCAGTGCACAAGCTGGGTTTAGAAAGGGTCATTCTACAACCGATAACATGTTTGTATTGTATTCTTTAATCTCAATATATTTTTCATTAGGAAAAAAACTTTATTGTACGTTCATCGATTTTAGTAAGGCGTTCGATTCTGTATGGAGAGTTGGTCTGTGGAAAAAGCTCCAAAAAAGCAACATTACTGGAAAAATTTTCAATATTATTTATAAGCTATATGATAAAACCAAATCATGTGTTAAAAATGGATGTGAACAGTCGGATTTGTTCAATTGTGAGATCGGTTTAAAACAGGGCGAAAATTTATCGCCATTTTTGTTTGCAATTTATTTAAATGATTTAGAAACTTATCTTGTTGAAAAAAATGTAAATTGTCTTCAAACAATAGACAAATTATGTATTGATAACATTGGAGTGTATCTCAAACTATTCATTATCTTATATGCCGATGATACTGTCCTGTTTTCAGAAACACCAGATGGTTTACAGTTAGCTTTAAATGAATTTGAACAATACTGTAATACTTGGAAGTTAACTATCAATTCAGGAAAAACTAAAATTGTCATCTTTTCAAAAAGAAAATGTGCAAGAACTCCCCATTTTACATTATGTAACGTAGAATTAGAAATACTGGAAGGGTATACCTATCTAGGATTATTCTTTAATTTTAGTTGTAGCTTCTTTAAAGCAAGGAAAAAAATTGTTGAACAAGCACAGAAATCAGTGTTTGCTGTCTATAAGAAATTGAGAAACATATCTTTACCAGTTGATCTACAATTGAAGATATTTGATTCATTAATTATGCCAGTTCTTCTCTATTCATCAGAAATATGGGGTTTTGAAAACACAAATATTATAGAAAAAATCCATCTTCAATTTTGTAAATATATACTAAATGTAAGAAAAAGTACACCAAATTTCATTGTTTATGGTGAGCTTGGAAGATACCCACTAGACATCGAAATTAAATGTAGAATAATAGTATTCTGGCATAAGTTGATTACCTCTAGTAAGTTATCAAGTACTATTTATAAGCTTATGTATACATTACATGAAAATGGAACTATGTTATTTAAATGGCTCGCATATGTTAAAGATATTTTTTCTCAAACTGGCCTGAACTATGTGTGGTACTATCAATCTACATGTTCTTTTTCAAAAGACGAAATTAAGAGGCTTGTGAAAAGTAGACTGAAGGATCAATTTATACAGAAATGGTTTGATAATATTCTTAACTCCTCTAGAGGACAAACATATTCAATATTAAAGACAAAGTTTGAACAAGAAAAATATTTAATTAAACTTAATACAAATGATAGGAAAATAATGTGTAAATTCCGTTCTTGCAATATGCATTTACCCATAGAAAAAGGAAGATGGTTAGGTATTCCTCGTCAAGAAAGAACCTGTACATTATGTAATTTGTACATTGGAGATGAATTTCATTACTTATTTATATGTGAAAGTGTTTTAGTTAAATGTCTAAGAGAGAAATATATACCAAAATATTATTTCACTTATCCAAGTCAATTAAAAATGCAAGGATTGTTTAATATATTTAATGTAAAAATTCACACAAAACTTTGTAAATTCATAGAAAAGCTTGAAAAAATATTAACTTAATTTCTGTACTATTTGTGTACTTCTATATGTATCTATGCTATGTACAATGTTGTAATTGTGTACATCACACGCCATGTATCATACTTACTATATGTATGTGACCTCTTGTTACACACGTAAGTGTGTCGGAGTGAATAAATAAAAACTTAAACTTAAACTTATGACATTGTTATTGCGATGTCATAACACCTGAAACATTGGAAATTACATTATGATAACCAAATTTTACTTATGATTTCTATATTTATGTTATTATATATTTTGTATCGGGTATAAGATACGTCATTTGATAAAAGGATTGCAACGAATTAAGAGTATTGTATTGATAGTGATCGGGCAAGAACGGGCGACGATTTACAGGAACGGACAGAAACGGGGCAGGATCGGACTTATTTATATATATTTATTGTATATATTTAATCATCCTTATCGGGTATAAGGTATATTTGATAAAATAATTGCAATTACAGGGACGGGGCAGGATCGGACTAAATTATATATATATAAAAATTGCCAGGCCGAGGTTCCAATATATGTCTCTGTTTTATTCTATAAAAAAAGGTTGTTCAGAGAATTATATATTACATATATAATAAATATGTATCTGGGTAATTTTCTCATTTATATATATGACATTGTTATTGCGATGTCATAACACCTGAAACATTGGAAATTACATTATGATAACCAAATTTTAATAACTTCATAACTTATACTCAACTCTTAATAAATAGCATGAATATATTTTGAGTGAATTAATTGGTGTTAATGTGTAGATTACAATCCCATCACGTCTACGATCTTAAAAAAAAGTCATTAAGGTTGAATTAATCCTTTGTTCTTGTACTTATTGGTGTGCAGAGGATGTGAACGCTTAACAGTTCAATCAAAGGAAACTTCTAAGTATCTTTCAAAGAAAATACGCAATTTTCCAACTCAAAACAGGGACATCAATCTGAAAATTAAATATTATTCTATATGTAAATGTAAGTTAATTGAAATACGTGTTTTACGTAAATAAACATTGAAGTCCATCTGTTGAATTGTTTGATGACATAGGCCTTATCTGTTTTAGAAAAACAATGCTGTGTATTAATTGTATATGTAAAGAAGAATGAAAAACGGTGAAACGCTTTAAGTTTCAATTTTCAAAGGCCGATGTGGTCAAAACTGATTATCTAATTCCGTAATAGTAGACAATACACTTCTTGTTCTAACAAAAACGTACATTGATGACTCTGTCGGCAAATTTCTTAGCCATCAATCACAAGCCAATCATCGTTCCAGGTAAGTACCCCACCTTATCAGTGACCCAGCCCTCCTGTGAACACAAAAGCTAAATGGTTAATTTGGTGGCTTTTGAATATTAGCGTCGCGTGCCGAGTGGACAATTTAGATTGGGTAATTACACATATATGATTATTTTGCCTGATGAAGCTGAGAAAATGAATTCACCAGCTAAACTCAAAACTGTAAAAACATCAAGAACAGATTATGCAATGGTATCTCACCGGACAGCAACGCAGACGTTTTTTCACAATAAAACGTTTCAAATTTGTATTCTCTGGTCTTGTATGAACGTGCATCAAAATAGAACACATTTCCTTTGAACATTTCCATTCATGATTGTGTCTGGTAAGCTCTGTCTCGTCAGAGACGTCTCGTGTGCCAATCAACTTCGCGTTCAATATCAGGCGGGACTTGGTCCGTACAAGTGGTTGGGAATCGTTGAGAATTTTTTTTCGTTCAACATATTTTTGAATTTAATTAAAACATATTTTATTGCTTCTAAATTCAAGCAAGAGGATTGGGCACAAGTTATTACAACTTATCAAAGCCCTCTCCTCAACAATTGTACTACAACAATGTGATAGCGACAATAGACATATATGTACGATTTATACCATATTTTAAAACGAATTTGGAAATCAGAATAAGGAAAGAAGAATCTTTGGTATTAGGCCTTTGAGATGTCACAAAAGACAATACACGTATCTTTCTTTTCTTACATATTGTAACAAATATTATGATAAATCTCAATCAGCTTGTGTATTATTTCATTTCCGAATAATTCTGAACAAGGTAGTGGTCACAAATAGTGTTACAACTTTTCATAACCTTCTCCCGTAAAAGTAAAACGTTGCTCATCGCAGTCAGTTGCACAATTTTTAGTATCTTTATCAATAAACCAATTTATTAAATTAACTTATGAGAAAAAGCTGTTATGACATCGTAATTTACCTAAATAAACAATACCTGGGACTTATCTACATGTTGATATAATGTTTTATGTTTAAAATTAGATATTGTACACGGAATTGGATAAAGTCCGTGGTTATGCATTCATATAACTTGATTTTTTTTTAAAGACTTAAATTTGAAATTTATTTCCGTTTTTGTCGTCATTGCATAACCAATATATATATATATTTACCTGTAACTGTGAATTAGATTCGGTACCAGTATACACCCCATTAGTGTACCTTCAGGAACTTGGATTGTTAAGTGCCCGGGGGCACAGAGCCGGGATATTTGCCCGAGTCCAGAATGGAGCTGTACTCCAGATAACAGATTTCTGTTATTTCCTAATTAGTGTCACAAACTCAGGGTTATTAAAAGTATATGTATACAGTATCTCTGGGAGTCGAATCAAGCTTGAACACGGAATTAGGCAACAAGTTTTCATGTCATTTAGTATTTTGCTTTCGGATGATGAAAGACGTATATATAACGTAATATGTGTTTTGAGTTACTTATTTCTCTTTTGAAAATCATTATGACACATCTTTTAACCGTGTTCATCACTAACTTAACCGGATATATTTAACATTTGATTTCTTCATTAGGATGTCCCCGCTCAGGACCGTGTTTATTGTAAGATGGATATATATGGTATTTCGTCGTTCATGTTACCTATTTCTCTTTTAAAAATCATAATGACACATCTTTTAACCGTGTTCATCCCTAACTTAATTTATATGACGAAAAATAAACGGATATATTTAACATGAGATTTCTTCATCATGATGTCCCCGCTCAGGACCGTGTTTATTGTAAGATGTATATATTCAGTATTTCGTCGTTTAATATACCTATTTTCCATTTAAAAGTCATTATGACACATCTTTTAACCGTGTTGATACCTAACTTAACTTATATTACGAAAATTAAACGGATATATTTAACATCTGATTTCCTGATCAGGATGTCCACGCTCGGGACAGTGTATGTTATAAGATGTGTATATTTAGTAATTCGTCGTTTTTTATGCCTATTCTTGCATTTAAAAGTCATTATGACTTCTCTTTTGATCGTATGCATTGCTATCTTTACTAATGTTAAGACTTACAACGGATATATTTAACATTCGATTTCCTGATCAGGATGTCCACGCTCGGGACCGTGTATGTTATAAGATGTATATATTTAGTAATTCGTCGTTTTTTATGCCTATTCTTGCATTTAAAAGTCATTATGAGATCTCTTTTGACCGTATGCATTGCTATCTTTACTAATGTTAAGACTTACAACGAATATATTTAACATTCGATTTCCTGATCAGGATGTCCACGCTCGGGACCGTGTATGTTATAAGATGTATATATTTAGTAATTCGTCGTTTTTTATGCCTATTCTTGCATTTTAAAGTCATTATGACTTCTCTTTTGACCGTATGCATTGCTATCTTTACTAATGTTAAGACTTACAACGGATATATTTAACATTCGATTTCCTGATCAGGATGTCCCCGCTAAGGACCGTATATGTTACAAGATGTATATATATAGTAAATCCTCGTTCGTATCTTTTTGTACGCTTTCAAAACACTTGTGTGCCCGCAGGACGGGATTCAAGATGTGAAATTTATTGACATTTTATTTTTTACGAGTTTGAACAGAGAAACAGTACGTAATTCTTACGTATACAGACAAAATGTATTTGATTATATGAAATACCGATGTTTACACCTGTGTGCCAGTTATTTCATAAGAAGTTTAAAACGATTTTTCAGCTGTACCTTTACAACAATAACCATTAAAATTTAAAACACATGTGCCACGCCGCGATCGTAAAAAATCAATTCATCATAACTCGGTCAATTTTTCAATTATCAAATTGAAATTTGGTACAGATGTGAATTATTGTCATATTAACAACATATCTTCTGATGTCGCTTACTTTTTTCAGCATTTTTGAAGATTTTGTCTGACTACGCTTGTTGTCACCTGAAGACGCTTGTTGTCTGTTGAAGACGCTTTAAGTTAGACCCGCCCAATCTTGTTTTTAGTATGTCCCTTCCTTGAAACAAACATAATCACGACCACGATTTTTAATGGCTGTACATGTACACTGTTTATCGATCCTAGAAAAAGGCTTTTGTCTCGGTGCAGATTACAATAAAACAGGTACTGTAAGGTTTACATCTCCTTTGGTATTGCTGTTGGAAAGAAATGTAAACAATTGCCTGTTTCAGCAATGGCGCTAGTGATGTCTTTTTCTTTGAATCTGTTCTTGTGAACGTAGCTTCTGACAACGAGATATTTTGTTAATAGATTTCAGAGGAGGCCGGGTATTCATATTAGTACTAGGTTTGCAAATGAAATCGCTAAATAGCTAACTAAGCATGTGTATTTTAAGCTAAGGTGCGCTCTGCTGGTCTGACATGTCTGACCAATATCAGTATAGCATATGTGTATTTTAGACATATGTACCGAATCACTCTGTTCGAAGTGCAGTTACACGCAACTACTAATATGATATGTATGTATCCAGCGACTGAAAGCCTAACACGATCAATATTGTTAGTAGTTGCATGTCCCTGTGGTCGAAGAGTGAACTTGTACATCATTGAAATAGCATTGTGTTACAAGAACAATGTAAGGTTATTATAATTGTCTTTGACTGCCGCTATTATTAATAAAGTGGACAACTGATCAGAGATCAATATGCAAGTATATATTATCTTCATGCAACTCATTACCCTATAAGCTTCATCCAAATGGATCCGGGTTGTTTCGCCCTAAAAGTTATAAATATCTGAGTTAAAATGTTTTTGAAAATTATGAACACTTTTTAAATGTTTTCATGTTTCACGACCAATTGTGCTGTCAGAAGAATTTCATTCTGGTGCATGCTACATTGTATCTCGTACATAGGTAACATTGTATCTGACGTACATAGGTAACATTGTATCTGACGTATATAGGTAACATTGTATCTCGTACATAAGTAACATTGTATCTCGTACATAGGTAACATTGTATCCGGTACATAGGTAACATTGTATCTCGTACATAGTTAACTTTGTATCTCTTACATAGGTAACATTGTATCTGGTACATAGGTAACATTGTATCTCGTACATAGGTAACATTGTATCTCGTACATAGGTAACATTGTATCTCGTACATAGGTAACATTGTATCTCGTACATAGGTAACATTGTATCTGGTACATAGGTAACATTGTATCTGGTACATAGGTAACATTGTATCTCGTACATAGGTAACATTGTATCTCGTACATAGGTAACATTGTATCTGGTACATAGGTAACATTGTATCTGGTACATAGGTAACATTGTATCTCGTACATAGGTAACATTGTATCTCGTACATAGGTAACATTGTATCTGGTACATAGGTAACATTGTATCTGGTACATAGGTAACATTGTATCTCGTACATAGGTAACATTGTATCTCGTACATAGGTAACATTGTATCTGGTACATAGGTAACATTGTATCTGGTACATAGGTAACATTGTATCTCGTACATAGGTAACATTGTATCTGGTACATAGGTAACATTGTATCTGGTACATAGGTAACATTGTATCTCGTACATAGGTAACATTGTATCTCGTACATAGGTAACATTGTATCTGGTACATAGGTAACATTGTATCTGGTACATAGGTAACATTGTATCTCGTACATAGGTAACATTGTATCTGGTACATAGGTAACATTGTATCTGGTACATAGGTAACATTGTATCTCGTACATAGGTAACATTGTATCTGGTACATAGGTAACATTGTATCTGGTACATAGGTAACATTGTATCTCGTACATAGGTAACATTGTATCTGGTACATAGGTAACATTGTATCTGGTACATAGGTAACATTGTATCTCGTACATAGGTAACATTGTATCTCGTACATAGGTAACATTGTATCTGGTACATAGGTAACATTGTATCTGGTACATAGGTAACATTGTATCTCGTACATAGGTAACATTGTATCTCGTACATAGGTAACATTGTATCTGGTACATAGGTAACATTGTATCTGGTACATAGGTAACATTGTATCTCGTACATAGGTAACATTGTATCTGGTACATAGGTAACATTGTATCTGGTACATAGGTAACATTGTATCTCGTACATAGGTAACATTGTATCTGGTACATAGGTAACATTGTATCTGGTACATAGGTAACATTGTATCTCGTACATAGGTAACATTGTATCTGGTACATAGGTAACATTGTATCTGGTACATAGGTAACATTGTATCTCGTACATAGGTAACATTGTATCTGGTACATAGGTAACATTGTATCTGGTACATAGGTAACATTGTATCTCGTACATAGGTAACATTGTATCTGGTACATAGGTAACATTGTATCTGGTACATAGGTAACATTGTATCTCGTACATAGGTAACATTGTATCTGGTACATAGGTAACATTGTATCTGGTACATAGGTAACATTGTATCTCGTACATAGGTAACATTGTATCTGGTACATAGGTAACATTGTATCTGGTACATAGGTAACATTGTATCTCGTACATAGGTAACATTGTATCTCGTACATAGGTAACATTGTATCTGGTACATAGGTAACATTGTATCTGGTACATAGGTAACATTGTATCTCGTACATAGGTAACATTGTATCTGGTACATAGGTAACATTGTATCTGGTACATAGGTAACATTGTATCTCGTACATAGGTAACATTGTATCTGGTACATAGGTAACATTGTATCTGGTACATAGGTAACATTGTATCTCGTACATAGGTAACATTGTATCTGGTACATAGGTAACATTGTATCTGGTACATAGGTAACATTGTATCTCGTACATAGGTAACATTGTATCTCGTACATAGGTAACATTGTATCTGGTACATAGGTAACATTGTATCTGGTACATAGGTAACATTGTATCTCGTACATAGGTAACATTGTATCTGGTACATAGGTAACATTGTATCTGGTACATAGGTAACATTGTATCTCGTACATAGGTAACATTGTATCTGGTACATAGGTAACATTGTATCTGGTACATAGGTAACATTGTATCTCGTACATAGGTAACATTGTATCTGGTACATAGGTAACATTGTATCTGGTACATAGGTAACATTGTATCTCGTACATAGGTAACATTGTATCTGGTACATAGGTAACATTGTATCTGGTACATAGGTAACATTGTATCTCGTACATAGGTAACATTGTATCTGGTACATAGGTAACATTGTATCTGGTACATAGGTAACATTGTATCTCGTACATAGGTAACATTGTATCTGGTACATAGGTAACATTGTATCTGGTACATAGGTAACATTGTATCTCGTACATAGGTAACATTGTATCTCGTACATAGGTAACATTGTATCTGGTACATAGGTAACATTGTATCTGGTACATAGGTAACATTGTATCTCGTACATAGGTAACATTGTATCTCGTACATAGGTAACATTGTATCTGGTACATAGGTAACATTGTATCTCGTACATAGGTAACATTGTATCTCGTACATAGGTAACATTGTATCTGACGTGCATAGGTAACATTGTATCTGACGTATATAGGTAACATTGTATCTCGTACATAGGTAACATTGTATCTCGTACATAGGTAACATTTTATCTCGTACATAGGTAACAGGTTCGAGCCCCAGCAACGGCACTATCTTTATCACTATTTCTCGTCCTATTACACTTTCATGCAAACCTTGACAGCTTCATTCAACTGTTGTTAAGTCCACATGACAGTACACCTCAGTTTGTAGGTACTTATTATGCATTTGGTGATGTTTCAGATATTTTCTGATGTTTTCCATGCTGCAATGAAAATTAAAGAGGATCCTTTGAACCAAATTGACAAAACAATAATTGGAAATGAAATCTTCTCCAGGTGAAGAAGATACGTCACCATTTCTACTTGGCAGTTAAGACTGTGTGGACTGATGCATGAGAGGTCAAAATTGAGGCCTTCAACCTTAGCGACCATGAGTGATATTTGATAAAAAGTTCAGGGACTTGTGTCAGCTAGTCACTTACACCAGGATGGCTACAGAAAAAAAACCAGGGACTTGTGTCAGCTAGTCACTTACACCAGGATGTCAACAGACAAGAAACCACACACGTACACCTGTGAAGTCTGTGGTAAGACGTTTAAAGACGGAGCTGAGAAGGAAATACACACCAAAATGCATGCAGAGCAGAAACTGTACAGGTGTGATGTATGTGATAAAGGGTTTAATCAGGCAGCGAACCTGAAAACACACATGAGAATACATACAGGCGAGAAGCCATACGAGTGTGAAGTTTGTGGTAAGGAGTTTAGTCATGCAGTTTCCCTGAAAACTCACAACAAGGTCCATACTAGGGAGAAGCCTTACAGGTGTGATTTCTGTGGTAAACAATTTAGTCAGGCAAGTAACATGCAAATACACAGGAGAATGCATACAGGTGAAAAGCCATTCAAGTGTGACGTGTGTGGTAAGGGGTTTAATCGGAAAGATCGACTACAAACTCACATCAGAATACATACAGGGGAGAAACCATTCAAGTGTGACATCTGTAGTAAAGGATTTAGTCAGGCAGGGAACCTCCAAACACACATCAGAACGCATACGGGGGAGAAGCCACATAAATGTGACGTCTGTGGTAAAAGATTTAGTAAGGCCGGTAACCTCCAGACTCACATCAGGACACATACCGGGGAGAAACCGTTCAAGTGTGATGTCTGTGGCAAAGGTTTCAGTGAGGCTTCTAGCCGACAAATACACCTCAGGACACATACAGGGGAGAAACCGTTCAAGTGTGATATCTGTGGCAATAAATTTCGAGACATAATTAGCAAGCAGAGACACCTGAGTGCACATACAGAAGAACAGGCGTACCAGTGTGGTGTGTGTCTGAAGGAGTTCAATTGGGTCGCTAGTCTACAGAGACATATCAGAAAACACGCCACAGAAAAGCCGTACAAGTGTGAGGTCTGTGATAAAGGTTTCACCGCCAAATCCTACCTCAGTTCTCACATCAGGACCCATACCGGAGAGCTACCGTTCAAGTGTGATTTCTGTAGCAAGGGGTTCAATCGCAAAGATCACCTGCAGAAACACATCCGGGTACATACAGGGGAGAAGCCGTTCAAGTGTGACGTCTGTGGTAAGGGGTTTAGTAACACGACATGCCTTTCTAGACATGTCAGAATACACACAGGAGATAAACCGTTCAAGTGTGACGTCTGTGATAAGGAGTTTAGTCAGGCAGGTAACCTCCAATCACACATCAGGACACATACGGGAGATAAACCACCAAAACATGCTCTACCCTAACGACTAACCTACGGACAGGGATACAGGGAAGAAATAAGGGTGTGATAGGTAAATTAGTTCTTTATTAATTAGCAAACGGATAAATCTGGTGACCTTAACCCAGTAGCAGCTGTGGTGTTATTTGTGCTACATATAAAGTTATAGAAATTTAATTTACAATGTCACTATGACACATTAAGTGTAGAAGTCATACTGTATGTTGGAAATTTTTCCTCGCAGTTTAATTTTTTGACTTTTTCACCCTTCATAATGATGGCGAAATTATATTTACAGCGAATTTGAATGAACAACATAATGTGAATGTGAAGGGCGAAATTAACACTGGGGGGGAATATTTCATGGGCGAAGAGAGAAAGTTTGACTGGGTGGAGAGTGAAAGTTTTTCCGGGTGAAGAGTGAAAGTTTGACTGGGCGGAGAGTGAAAGTTTGACTGGGCGGAGAGTGAAAGTTTGACTGGGCGAAGAGTGAAAGTTTGAGTGGGCGGAAAGTGAAAGTTTGACCGGGCGAAGAGTGAAAGTTTGACTGGGCGGATAGTGAAAGTTTGACTGGGCGAAGAGTAAAAGTTTGACTGGGCGAAGAGTGAAAGTTTGACCGGGCGAAGAGTGAAAGTTTGACTGGGCGAAGAGTGAAAGTTTGATTGGGCGAAGAGTGAAAGTTTGACTGGGCGAAGAGTGAAAATTTGACTGGGCGAAGATTTCCTGGTATACAGTACATTGTACGAATGTGATGTCTTTGTTAAAAGGTTAGGAAATCAACCTGACGATTTCTACAAAGACAATCCCATGACACAGTGTATGAGCATGAAATGTGTGATGTCTCGACTACACTGTAAAGACTATCCGAGTCCCAGATACACCCCATGGACTATTCATGATCATATGACTATTTTGTAAGAAAACTAAACTATATACCCCACAGGTGTGTCAGCTATATTTATAAATATTGTACATAATATAATGTGATAGTACATAGTACGTACCATAGATAACAAGATCTCTCAAACTTTAAAAAGATGTCATACTGTATAACATGAAATATTCGTGGGTACTTTCCTTCGTGGTTTGTAGATGTCATACTGTATAACATGAAATATTTGTGGGTACTTTCCTTCCTGGTTTGTAGATGTCACACTGTATAACATGAAATATTTGTGGGTACTTTCCTTCGTGGTTTGTAGATGTCACACTGTATAACATGAAATATTCGTGGGTACTTTCCTTCGTGGTTTGTAGATGTCACACTGTATAACATGAAATATTCGTGGGTACTTTCCTTCGTGGTTTGTAGATGTCACACTGTATAACATGAAATATTCGTGGGTACTTTCCTTCGTGGTTTGTAGATGTCACACTGTATAACATGAAATATTCGTGGGTACTTTCCTTCGTGGTTTGTAGATGTCACACTGTATAACATGAAATATTCGTGGGTACTTTCCTTCGTGGTTTGTAGATGTCACACTGTATAACATGAAATATTCGTGGGTACTTTCCTTCGTGGTTTGTAGATGTCACACTGTATAACATGAAATATTCGTGGGTACTTTCCTTCGTGGTTTGTAGATGTCACACTGTATAACATGAAATATTCGTGGGTACTTTCCTTCGTGGTTTGTAGATGTCACACTGTATAACATGAAATATTCGTGGGTACTTTCCTTCGTGGTTTGTAGATGTCACACTGTATAACATGAAATATTCGTGGGTACTTTCCTTCGTGGTTTGTAGATGTCACACTGTATAACATGAAATATTCGTGGGTACTTTCCTTCGTGGTTTGTAGATGTCACACTGTATAACATGAAATATTCGTGGGTACTTTCCTTCGTGGTTTGTAGATGTCACACTGTATAACATGAAATATTCGTGGGTACTTTCCTTCGTGGTTTGTAGATGTCACACTGTATAACATGAAATATTCGTGGGTACTTTCCTTCGTGGTTTGTAGATGTCACACTGTATAACATGAAATATTCGTGGGTACTTTCCTTCGTGGTTTGTAGATGTCACACTGTATAACATGAAATATTCGTGGGTACTTTCCTTCGTGGTTTGTAGATGTCACACTGTATAACATGAAATATTCGTGGGTACTTTCCTTCGTGGTTTGTAGATGTCACACTGTATAACATGAAATATTCGTGGGTACTTTCCTTCGTGGTTTGTAGATGTCACACTGTATAACATGAAATATTCGTGGGTACTTTCCTTCGTGGTTTGTAGATGTCACACTGTATAACATGAAATATTCGTGGGTACTTTCCTTCGTGGTTTGTAGATGTCACACTGTATAACATGAAATATTCGTGGGTACTTTCCTTCGTGGTTTGTAGATGTCACACTGTATAACATGAAATATTCGTGGGTACTTTCCTTCGTGGTTTGTAGATGTCACACTGTATAACATGAAATATTCGTGGGTACTTTCCTTCGTGGTTTGTAGATGTCACACTGTATAACATGAAATATTCGTGGGTACTTTCCTTCGTGGTTTGTAGATGTCACACTGTATAACATGAAATATTCGTGGGTACTTTCCTTCGTGGTTTGTAGATGTCACACTGTATAACATGAAATATTCGTGGGTACTTTCCTTCGTGGTTTGTAGATGTCACACTGTATAACATGAAATATTCGTGGGTACTTTCCTTCGTGGTTTGTAGATGTCACACTGTATAACATGAAATATTCGTGGGTACTTTCCTTCGTGGTTTGTAGATGTCACACTGTATAACATGAAATATTCGTGGGTACTTTCCTTCGTGGTTTGTAGATGTCACACTGTATAACATGAAATATTCGTGGGTACTTTCCTTCGTGGTTTGTAGATGTCACACTGTATAACATGAAATATTCGTGGGTACTTTCCTTCGTGGTTTGTAGATGTCACACTGTATAACATGAAATATTCGTGGGTACTTTCCTTCGTGGTTTGTAGATGTCACACTGTATAACATGAAATATTCGTGGGTACTTTCCTTCGTGGTTTGTAGATGTCACACTGTATAACATGAAATATTCGTGGGTACTTTCCTTCGTGGTTTGTAGATGTCACACTGTATAACATGAAATATTCGTGGGTACTTTCCTTCGTGGTTTGTAGATGTCACACTGTATAACATGAAATATTCGTGGGTACTTTCCTTCGTGGTTTGTAGATGTCACACTGTATAACATGAAATATTCGTGGGTACTTTCCTTCGTGGTTTGTAGATGTCACACTGTATAACATGAAATATTCGTGGGTACTTTCCTTCGTGGTTTGTAGATGTCACACTGTATAACATGAAATATTCGTGGGTACTTTCCTTCGTGGTTTGTAGATGTCACACTGTATAACATGAAATATTCGTGGGTACTTTCCTTCGTGGTTTGTAGATGTCACACTGTATAACATGAAATATTCGTGGGTACTTTCCTTCGTGGTTTGTAGATGTCACACTGTATAACATGAAATATTCGTGGGTACTTTCCTTCGTGGTTTGTAGATGTCACACTGTATAACATGAAATATTCGTGGGTACTTTCCTTCGTGGTTTGTAGATGTCACACTGTATAACATGAAATATTCGTGGGTACTTTCCTTCGTGGTTTGTAGATGTCACACTGTATAACATGAAATATTCGTGGGTACTTTCCTTCGTGGTTTGTAGATGTCACACTGTATAACATGAAATATTCGTGGGTACTTTCCTTCGTGGTTTGTAGATGTCACACTGTATAACATGAAATATTCGTGGGTACTTTCCTTCGTGGTTTGTAGATGTCACACTGTATAACATGAAATATTCGTGGGTACTTTCCTTCGTGGTTTGTAGATGTCACACTGTATAACATGAAATATTCGTGGGTACTTTCCTTCGTGGTTTGTAGATGTCACACTGTATAACATGAAATATTCGTGGGTACTTTCCTTCGTGGTTTGTAGATGTCACACTGTATAACATGAAATATTCGTGGGTACTTTCCTTCGTGGTTTGTAGATGTCACACTGTATAACATGAAATATTCGTGGGTACTTTCCTTCGTGGTTTGTAGATGTCACACTGTATAACATGAAATATTCGTGGGTACTTTCCTTCGTGGTTTGTAGATGTCACACTGTATAACATGAAATATTCGTGGGTACTTTCCTTCGTGGTTTGTAGATGTCACACTGTATAACATGAAATATTCGTGGGTACTTTCCTTCGTGGTTTGTAGATGTCACACTGTATAACATGAAATATTCGTGGGTACTTTCCTTCGTGGTTTGTAGATGTCACACTGTATAACATGAAATATTCGTGGGTACTTTCCTTCGTGGTTTGTAGATGTCACACTGTATAACATGAAATATTCGTGGGTACTTTCCTTCGTGGTTTGTAGATGTCACACTGTATAACATGAAATATTCGTGGGTACTTTCCTTCGTGGTTTGTAGATGTCACACTGTATAACATGAAATATTCGTGGGTACTTTCCTTCGTGGTTTGTAGATGTCACACTGTATAACATGAAATATTCGTGGGTACTTTCCTTCGTGGTTTGTAGATGTCACACTGTATAACATGAAATATTCGTGGGTACTTTCCTTCGTGGTTTGTAGATGTCACACTGTATAACATGAAATATTCGTGGGTACTTTCCTTCGTGGTTTGTAGATGTCACACTGTATAACATGAAATATTCGTGGGTACTTTCCTTCGTGGTTTGTAGATGTCACACTGTATAACATGAAATATTCGTGGGTACTTTCCTTCGTGGTTTGTAGATGTCACACTGTATAACATGAAATATTCGTGGGTACTTTCCTTCGTGGTTTGTAGATGTCACACTGTATAACATGAAATATTCGTGGGTACTTTCCTTCGTGGTTTGTAGATGTCACACTGTATAACATGAAATATTCGTGGGTACTTTCCTTCGTGGTTTGTAGATGTCACACTGTATAACATGAAATATTCGTGGGTACTTTCCTTCGTGGTTTGTAGATGTCACACTGTATAACATGAAATATTCGTGGGTACTTTCCTTCGTGGTTTGTAGATGTCACACTGTATAACATGAAATATTCGTGGGTACTTTCCTTCGTGGTTTGTAGATGTCACACTGTATAACATGAAATATTCGTGGGTACTTTCCTTCGTGGTTTGTAGATGTCACACTGTATAACATGAAATATTCGTGGGTACTTTCCTTCGTGGTTTGTAGATGTCACACTGTATAACATGAAATATTCGTGGGTACTTTCCTTCGTGGTTTGTAGATGTCACACTGTATAACATGAAATATTCGTGGGTACTTTCCTTCGTGGTTTGTAGATGTCACACTGTATAACATGAAATATTCGTGGGTACTTTCCTTCGTGGTTTGTAGATGTCACACTGTATAACATGAAATATTCGTGGGTACTTTCCTTCGTGGTTTGTAGATGTCACACTGTATAACATGAAATATTCGTGGGTACTTTCCTTCGTGGTTTGTAGATGTCACACTGTATAACATGAAATATTCGTGGGTACTTTCCTTCGTGGTTTGTAGATGTCACACTGTATAACATGAAATATTCGTGGGTACTTTCCTTCGTGGTTTGTAGATGTCACACTGTATAACATGAAATATTCGTGGGTACTTTCCTTCGTGGTTTGTAGATGTCACACTGTATAACATGAAATATTCGTGGGTACTTTCCTTCGTGGTTTGTAGATGTCACACTGTATAACATGAAATATTCGTGGGTACTTTCCTTCGTGGTTTGTAGATGTCACACTGTATAACATGAAATATTCGTGGGTACTTTCCTTCGTGGTTTGTAGATGTCACACTGTATAACATGAAATATTCGTGGGTACTTTCCTTCGTGGTTTGTAGATGTCACACTGTATAACATGAAATATTCGTGGGTACTTTCCTTCGTGGTTTGTAGATGTCACACTGTATAACATGAAATATTCGTGGGTACTTTCCTTCGTGGTTTGTAGATGTCACACTGTATAACATGAAATATTCGTGGGTACTTTCCTTCGTGGTTTGTAGATGTCACACTGTATAACATGAAATATTCGTGGGTACTTTCCTTCGTGGTTTG